AGCCACCGCCGGCTGAGCGACGGTCCGGTGGGTGAGGCCGGCACCGTCGGGGGAGACAGCATTGACGCCGGCGGACTCTCCCGCCTCTTCGACGTCAGAGCGGGCGCCTCCCTCACCCTCAGCGGCCTCACGCTGCGCAATGGGCGCGCGGACGGCGCGGGCGGCGCGATCCGCGCCCGCGACGGCGCCAATGTGCTGCTCGAGTACGTCGCGATTGAGGACTGCCGCGCTCTCATGGTGGGCGGCGCCGTCGCGCTGGTTGGTTCGGCGCCGTCCCAGCTGACGATGCGCGTGGTGGGCATCTCTGGCTGCAGCGCGGCCGATGGCGCCTCCGCCATCGAGAGCGGTGGCGGGGCCGTCCTCGCCACTGTGCTCAGCATTTCTCACGCCTGCGACGGCGCGGCGCCGCCCGTCTTTGGGAGTGGAGACGGCGCCACGTGGGCGATGCGTGGCCTCAAGCTGGTGGCGGACGGATGCAGCGACGCCGAGGCGGCGCAGCTGGTGCCCGAGGGCGTCGCGGCGCTGGCGTGCTCGGATCGTGTCTTCACGCACCCGTTCTCCGGCACAGAGCTGCCCATCTGCGACGCGTCCGACGTTGCGTGCGTCGATGTGCCCGCCGGCGACGCGACCGTCCCCGCCTGCGAGTGCGAGGAGGGCGCGTTTGCAAACCCGGCATCGCCGCAGCTCGCGCCTTACGGTGCCACCGGCATCACCACCAAGGGGTGCCTCACGCCGCTCTACCTCTCGCCGCCGCTCACGCTCGTGCGCGAGGAGGTGACGGTGCGGCTGCTCAAGTCGGGATCCGACTTTGAGGCTGCGAGTGTCAACGTCAGCTTGCAGGTCGGAGGGTCTGCCTGGGAGGCGGCGGCGAGCTACAGCTGGGAGGTTGCCAACGCGGACGTGCTGCCCGAGTGGGTCCACCTGCCCGCCGCGTCTGGCCCGATTGGCTGCTCCGAGTCGCCCTGCTCCGTCTCCGTCCCGCTCTCCATCCTGTCGGAGGGCCTCGCCGAGCGCAGCGAGCCGTACGAGACGAACCTCACGGTGCGTCTCAAGACGGAGGAGGTGTACGAGGCCACCATCGACATCACCGCCTCAATCGTCGCTGAGCCGGCCGAGTGCGTGATCGACCCGAGGGGGGTGATCGACGCGGTGTACGACGGCGCCGAGGACCTGCCGATCGCCCTGCGACAGCGCATCTACGACTTCGCCACTTTCACGCTCTCCACGCGCGACGCGGCGGGCCTCCCGCTCCACCGCAACCTCGCCTCCCGCTTCCGCCTCTCTGCCACTGTCGACGGGGAGGTGATGCGAGTGCCGGAGGACGGCACCGTGACGCTCGCCTTTGCGGGAGGTGGCAACTATACCGTGACCCTCGAGGCGAACCGGATGGGCTACTTCGTCGTCGAGATCGAGTACACGCAGCCCGACGGCACCGCCGAGCTGGTCCCGGCGGCGGCGCGCATCCTCGTGCGCGCACCTCCGCACTCCGTGCCTGCGGGGTGGTGGCGTGCCTCGCCTAACACAACTGATCTCATCGAGTGCTCCATCGTGCCCGAGCTCGGATCCGAGGAGTGGACACCTTGCCAGGGAGGCGCGGACGCGGGGGTGGGCGGTGCAGGCTACTGCGAGGTTGGCTACGCCGGGCCCCGCTGCGAGGTGTGCGTCAACGGGACGCACTACTTCGACAAGGCGGTTGGCAAGTGCAAGCTCTGCGAGCCGCTCGAGAACTCTGCGCTCAAGCTGCTCGGCGTCGCGTCCGCCATCTTCGCGCTCCTCTTCGCGCTCTTCCACATGCTGAGGTCCACCTACAAGCCGCGCCACTGGGCGCTGCGCAGGCCGGTGCTTGTCGGGCGGCGGATCTTGATCCGTTGGTCGCAGTACTCCATGCGCGCCAAGGCGAAGAACATCTTCACGCTCTTTCAGATCCTCGCCGTAGTGCCGAGCACATACGAGGTGAGCTTGCCCAAGGAGCTGACCGAGTGGGCGGCGGTGCTCCGCTGGCCAGAGTTCCTCGGCCTGAACCTCTTCATCCCCGGCGGCTGCTACGGCTCCTACCTCAACCGGCTGCTCGTCTCCGCCTTCTGGCCGATCGCCCTCATTGGCCTCATCATTCTCGGCTGCGTCGTCTACGTCGGCGGCAGGCGCGTGCGGGCGCGCGAGCCGCTCGACCGCGAGGGGTGGAGGGCGGTGCTGACGACGGCGCTGCTCCGCGCGCTGCCGCCCTGCCTGATTGTCACGTTCGTCTGCGTGCCGATGGCGTCGATGCGCATCCTGCGCACCTTCACGTGCCTCCACTTCACAGTGGACGACATCACGGGCGAGGGGGCGACCTACCTCGCCGACGACCTCTCCATCTCGTGCGACAGCCCAGAGTACAAGGAGGTCGAGGCGTGGGCCATAGGTCTCCTCTTCCTCTGGCCGCTCGGCGTGCCGGCCCTGTACGCCTACCTCCTCTGGAAGTGCCGCAACGCCATCCGCACGCGGCGGCCGAACCGCCTCTCGCGCGCAACCATATTCCTGTGGGGCGACTACGAGACGCGCTGCTTCTGGTGGGAGCCGTTCGAGATCCTGCGCCGCCTCACGCTGACTGGCTTCGTACTGATTAGCACGACCGGCTACTCAATGATGCGAGGCCTCATCGCCACCCTGATCTCGATCGCCTTCCTGATGGGCCTCTCGGTGCTCGTGCCCCTCCGGAGCAAGATTGACGACGCGCTCGTGCTAGGCTGCCACCTGTCGCTGGTGATCCTCTTCGTCGCGGTGCTCGTCATCAAGGGTTGCACCGACATACCCGACTATTGCGCCATGTACGGCATGGGCGATTCGCCGCTCGGCGCCTCGCTCATCTTCATCGTCTACGCCGTCTGCCTGCTCGGCCTCTCCATGTGCATCGCCTTCGCCTTCGCCGTCATCGCGCTGCGGCGCGTCACCGCGTTGCGACTGAACATTCGCGGCCAGAGCAGTCCTCCCGACCCCTCCCTCGCCAAGGGCCACCGCTTTCACCTCTTCCTCTCGCATCGGTGGGCGACCGGCCAGGACCAGATGGCCGTGCTCAAGCGGCAGCTGCAGCTGGTGCTTCCCGGCTCGAGCGTTTTCTTGGACGTCGACGATTTGCGCCACATCGGCGACCTCGAGCGCTACATCGACGAGTCGCAGGTGATCCTTATCTTCCTCTCGCGTGGCTATTTCAAGTCGCGCAACTGCTTGCGCGAAGTCGCGGCGGCGGTGGCGGCGAACAAGCCGGTGGTGCTCGTCCGCGAGGCCGACTTCGCAAAGGGAGGCACGACGTACGAGGAGGCACGCCTCGAGTGCCCGCCACAATACCGCTCCTTCGTCTTCGACGGCCGCGAGCCGATCACGTGGCACCGCACCTACGACTTCCAGCGCCTCTCCGTCAAGCTGATCGCCACGCACCTGCTTGCCGGCTGCCCAAACTACCGCAAGCACAAGTTCGAGCTCTACTACCGCGACGAGCTCACCTGCGAGAGCCTCACCCTCCCCTCGCCCGTCGGAATCTACCCCTCGCCACACAACGCCGGCGCGGCCGAATTTGTCGCGGAGCTCGCCACCGTCTTCCCCGTCGCGTCGCTGGCGCAGTCGCCGAGCCCACCGTCCCCCGCCCGCAACGCCCTCGCTCGGCTAGGGAGCACGAGCTCCGCCGACGCCAGCGCCGTCGCGGACGATCCAATCGCATCCTGGAGGGGCTCCATCCTGCGGAGCCGTGTGCGGGCACCTCCCTCCAAGCCGAGCAGGCTCGAGGCGAGGTACTTTCTGCTGCTGCTCAACCGGAGCATCTTCCAAGACGAGCACGGCGAGGAGCTGGCGCGTGAGGTGCGGGCAGCGCTGCACAGCGGCGCGGCGCTGCTTCTCGTGCACGAGGTCGACGAGGAGCGCGACGGCTGCGATTTCGACACCTTCTTCTCCATCACGCCTGCCGACCTCCTCGACAGCGGCATCTTTTACCAGATGGCGAGCGCACTGCACGCCGGGACCGAGCACCGGCTCCTCTCCCTCGCGGTGGTGGCGCAGCGGCTCGGCGCCGTCTCGCGCAAGTCGCTGCGAGGCGGCGTCATCACGGCCGCGACTAACGCCGAGCGGGCCGCGACCGCCCGCTTGTCCAAATCGCGGCTGCTGAGCGCCTCGGGCCGCCTCTTTCGCAGCAGTTCGCGCAACGAGGGGGGCGGCGGCGCGATCGTCGTCGGTGGTGGCGGCTCGCCCCGCTGCAGCGGCGAGACCGTGACAGGAGCTGACGAGCAGCCAACGAGCGAGGAGCCGGGCAGCGGCAGCTTCGCGCCGCTCTCCTCGATCGCCTCTGGCAGCGACGCGACCGGCGATTTATCCGCTTCCCCGAAGCCGCCATCCCCCTCGCGCGAGAGCCGGCTGCGGCCTGCGGCGTTTGCGGTCATGGCCACCTCGACGCGCCCCCCCTCGCCGTCTCGCGAGAGCCACGTGCAAGCGCAGCCGCAGGCGGAGACCGCCATAGCACAGACATCTTCGTGCTCCTTCGTCTGAGAGGCTCTCAGTACGTTGATGCAGCATACACGATACGAGTTACGGCATGGATCAGGTATGTTTTATTTTTGTGCATGATGGGGTTGTTTTTTGTTCAATTTTTGTCCAGAGGCCGCGCCAGCACATCCGTGGGTGATCTCGGGTCATCTCGTGAGTTCTTTTCTGGGGGCGGCGCGGACACCCCGGACACCCCTCCCTTGGCATGCCCATCGAGACACGACCGCGCACACGCCTCACGCGTGCCACACACGGCACACAGAGAGGCAGAGCCAGAACCACGCTTCAGACTTCACACACCGCACGACACCGCCTAGACCGCGTGGAGACGCGCGAGGGTCTCGGCCCCCCCGCCCCCCCGCCGGCCCCCCCTTGCCGCTTGCCCGCCCAGCCACCGTGTGTGTGTGGAGAAGTTTACCTTAGAGCCGTACCTTACCTTACCGCTTACGTCAGTACCCCAACATCACACAAGAATGCACACAAACCATGTATCACCCAGTCACGCGGTAGCGACCTAGCCCCTTTGTCACAATGCAGAGCCTCAAGCTGACGGCGCCCGCAGTCTCTGTGTGCAGCCGAAATCGGTCGAAACTCGAGCTGATCACCTCGCGGTGCTTGAGCGTGGGCACGCCCCCGAGGAAAAAGGACGTGATTTGCTCGCGCAGCGTTCCGCATGGCCTCCAAGTCTGCACCTTCACCTGAGTTATGAATGGCGAGACATATGGGCTTCCGCGCCAGCGTGTTATGGCGGGCGGATGCGCACCTCATGCATCCCGGAGCTGGTGGGGACGACGCAGCAACCGTAGCCACCCAGCTCGCAGCGGCCAAACTGGTCGACCGTCCACACCTCGAGGATCAGCTTTGGCCAACCGTCGAAGCCCTTGAGCGCGTAGTGCAGGTCGAGCGGATGCGCCCACACCGCCGGCTCGTCTAAGGTAGGCGACATGGCAGGTAAAGTCGCCGCACGCCGGCGTTGGGTGGGGCCTGGAAGGTGTGCTCATCCTGGGGCAGGTGGGATACCCATGCATGGCCGCCGACTGCACTCCCATCGGGCACGGTGCACCTTCGTTCGGGTGGTCACAGTGCGTCTGGCCGCTGGTGTGGCCCTGCAGCAGGCGAAAATTTGGGCCAGCGTCGATGGACCACTTGCAGAAGAGGCTGTTCCTTTGGAAGCCGTCCCCGCCGAGCAGCTGCCCGACCACGTGAAGCTCCGCCATTCCGCGGTTGTGTTGTCAACGGTTTGTAACAGATTGGAAAAAAAGAGCAAAGTAAGTTGGCAAGGCGCGGTGGGGGGGGGGGGGGGGGCAACCCTGCATCTGCATCTCCACACCCGGATATTTATCCGGACAGGCTGCAGGAGCCTTTGTACGGCATTCAAAGTGCAAGGCCCAGTGCACGTGCGTGAGCAACCTGCATGAGATCCCTTGGCCTTGCATTTCTAAGTCTTAAGCGCCAGGTCTGACGAGCTGGGCTTGTGGCGCTCAGCTATAGGTCATGCACACCCTCTGGGCGCTGAGCTGAGTGGAGCGAGTGGAGGCGAGAGTGTAGTGGAGCCCAAGGAGCCGAGGCCGAGCAGAGCCGAGCGGAGCCGAGCGAGCCGAGCGAGCCGAGCGGAGCCGAGCGGAGCCGAAGGAGCCGAAGGAGCCGAGCGAGCCGAGCGGAGCCGAGCGGAGCCGAGCGAGCCGATCGCGAACAGAGCTGCCACCGCGCCATCTGGTGCTTAAGGATTTAAAAAGCTAAGCGATCATGGTTCATGCAGAGAGAGATTTTTGAAAACCAACAAGAAACCACGACTCTCAAAGTGGGGGCGAGCACGGGGTACCCGAGTCATAGGCGCACGTGGCATGTGATCTGTGATCTGTGAGGTTCCGCCCGCAGGCGCATTTTGATTTTTGTTTACCGAGGCGGTGCCCGGTGCCGAACCTGTCGGACCTTAAGACAGCATTGTAGATCCCTGGGCGAGGGTGGTGGCATGTGGCAAAGTGCAGCGGTACGAATGTAATCATCACGCGATGCGAGCTGACATACTTGTGCGCCTCCCTCCCGTCCCGCCAGTCGCCTGCCTCGCTGCACTCTGCATCAATGGACAATGCTCATCGGGGGAGGTCATAACAAACACGGTACAGGATTGAGGTGCACGCCGCTGAGGGACCCGAGAGGGTAGATCGAGCGGTGGTGTCGTCCCGGGGCTCTCCAACTCCATCATCGATCATGCATCTCAACCCCGCCGTGCGCCGTGGCCGTGTGCCGCGCCGAAAATACATGGCGCCAGAGTGTTTCGTAAGTATCCCTAGACACGCCGCAAGGAGAGTTGGAGTATTTCACAGTATTTCAGTATCCGAGGTGCTGTGGCGCAGACCGCCGTATTCCAGTATTTTAGACACGCAAAGCAAGCAACAGTGCTCGCGCGGTCGAGCAGTGGGCCAGTCGCAAGCTGCGGCGCGGCCTGCATCCAATTCCTGCTTGGCCAGCCGATCGACTAACCGACTATTAGTACATCTCTAGCCGCAGCGCCTCACGCCCATTCTCCGCGTGTCCTTCGGCCGTCGACTCCAGGCCCCGTCGGGTGCCTTGCGGAGCGGGGCGTCATCTTTTGCGCGGTGGCCCTCTCCTCGTTGCGAGATCGTGGCCGAATGAGAGCTACAGAGCAAACCGCACGCTAGTAGCGCCGGCAAGTGTCGCCATCTGCGCCGGCCCCTTTCCACGTCGCGGGATCGTGGAGCCAGGTCCCGCCGTTGTGAGGACCGCCCTCAAAGGGCATCCAACAGCCAGCTGCCACTGGCTGCCACGCGCTCTTGCCGGCCGGGATCTGCTCCACAACCTCGAGCCACCGAGCGCCTCGGACGCAGTGCACAGTGCCCTTGAGTCGGGCGCCGTTGCGCGGCTAAATTTGCACCGCCGCCGCGCGCGCCACCCAGCGGCGAAGGCCGCCAATTCACTCCGGTTCAGCTGCCAGTTGAGACGGCGCAGATGAACTCCTGCAGGCCCTCGCTGCCCGCGACCGGCTTTAAAGGGCATCCGTCGTCGTGCTTCGAGGTCAGCGCGGACTGCGCGAGGGAAGGCCACTCGTCCATCTCCTGCTCCAAGTAACAGCGACAGGCTCGCAGCTTCTGGCACCTCTTCAGCCTCGCGAGCGGTATTTTTTCTTCTCTTTTGACACATTCTCACAGACAAGAGCGAAGAAGAGGAGCACAGCTAAAAATGCCCGCCCTCGCCGCCTCTCGCCGACCACCACGCCAGCTTGGCCGCCGCCCTGTCGTCCCGCCTATCGCCCGCCCGCCCTCGCCCTCGCCCCCTCCTCCCGCCACCACCCTCGCCTCACCCTCCCGCCGCCTCGCCGCTCGCTCGCTCGCTCGCTCGCCCGCTCGCGCCTGGCTTTCTACTCCCTCGTGATCGCCCGAATCTCTCCTTCCTCGTGATCCACCCTCGCCTCACCCTCCCGCCGCCTTGCTGCTCGCTCGCCGCTTGCTCGCCCGCCCGACTTTCTACTTCCTCGTGATCCGAACCGCCACCACCCTCGCCTCACCCTCCCGCCGCCTCGCCGCTCTCGCTCGCCGTTCGCTCGCCCGCTCCCGACTTTCTACTTCCTCGTGATCCGAACCGCCACCACCCTCGCCTCACCCTCCCGCCGCCTCGCCGCTCTCGCTCGCCGTTCGCTCGCCCGCTCCCGACTTTCTACTTCCTCGTGATCCATCTCGCCGCTCGCTCGCTCGCTCGCGCTCGACCTCCTACTTCCTCGTGATCCACCGCCGCCACCCTCGCCTTGCCCTCCCGCCGCCTAGCCGCTCGCTCGCCGCTCGCTCGCACGTTCGCGCTCGACCTTCTACTTCCTCGTGATCCACCGCCGCCACCCTCGCCTCGCCCCCCCGCCGCCTAGCCGCTCGCCTGCCGCTCGCTCGCACGTTCGCGCTCGACCTTCTACTTCCTCGTGATCAACCCGCCGCCTCGCCGCTGCCTCGCCCGCTCGCGCCCGACTTTCTACCTCCTCGTGACGCCGTGCCGTTTGTCTCGCCGTCCGAGACGTCCTGCCTGCCGTCTGCTGCCGCCGCGCCGCCTTACCGCCGACCCTTTCCCCGCCGTCCAATGCTCCGCCGTCCCTTCGCCGCTGTGGTCTGCCGTCGCGCCACCGTTCCTTACCGTGTCGCTCCTTCCTCCGTGCCGCGCCGCCCTTGCCGTTTAGCCTGCCGTACCCCCGTTCCTTACCGTGCCGCTCCTTCCTCCGTGCCGCGCCGCCCTTGCCGTTTAGCCTGCCGTACCCCCTGCCGTCCGTAACCGCCGTGCCGCCATACCGCCGCTCCTACAGTGCCGCGCCCGCCGTACCGTATGTCCCGCCGTCCGATGTCCTGCCTGCCGTCTGCTGCCGCCGCGCCGCCTTACCGCCGACCCTTACCGTGCCGCGCCGCCTTTACACACACACCTTACTTTCTGCTCGACCGAGTTTGCGCTGATGAGCGAACCGAGCCGCCGGGTGCCCCGCAGCGGCCTCGCTGGGCCAGAACGTCGGCCCCGAGTGCTCCGCAGCAGCCTCGCTGAGCCAGAACGTCGGCTCGCGAGGTGGGGTGCTAGTCTGGGACCCATACGTGGCAGTTCCCTTGCTCCAAGCGCTTGCGCTTCGGCGGTAGTGATCTAATCACCCGAATACCACGTTCGGATCGCTCCTCATCGCAAACCCCGTCAGCAGTTCACCTACGGGTATGTTCGTAAGAGCTACATACACTGAAAAAGATAAACGGGGCACATGGACATGAGCGTGTTCACTCTGCGGTACTGTGTCCTGCTCGCGCTCATCGCTGCGGCCAGCGCGATCGCTCCGCTCGCGTCGCGCCTGCCAGCGCGCCCCGCGATATCCGCCGCCAGCGCCTCGCCGGCCTGCGCCGGCCTGCGCTCGGCTTCTGCGCTCATGGGGAGCGAGGAGGAGAGCCGGCAGACGGCCACGATCGGGTACGTATACGTCGGCCTGCTCACCGCCTCCGTCTTTGCCGCCGCCATCGCCACATCCACCGGCTCTCCTCCCAACGGCCTCGCCATTGTCGCCGTGTCGTTTGCCGTCGCGGCCGCCGTCGCCAACTCCATCTGAGCTGGGCCCCGCGGCCGAGTCGCATCCAGCCGCCCTGGAGATTTTTATACGGGTACGACTTGTCGCCATGCATGCCTGTGCCACGCCGCGATGTGCCGATGAGATAGAGCGACTGTGCCGTCTCTCTCAGGTGGTTCGTACTGGTGCTTGCTCATCCCTCATGGGGAGAGACAGTGCTCAGTGGAGTCTTCGAGAGTCTGCGAGGGTGGGCCGAGTGCGAACTCGCCACGTACACACATCGCACTTAAAACTGTTGCCGGGCAAGCCGGCAAGGCAACGAATCTGGGGAGACGCGAGACTCCTCTCTGCCTCTCGCTGGACGGAGATCGGATCGAGAGCGCGGTGCGAAAGAGAGCGAGATAAACCCCTTCCAAGAGGCGAGAGGGCCGAGAGCGCGCGCTCCGCCCTCTACACCTCAGCGCTTTTTCGCCTCTCCGTTCTGCGTCGCCGAGGCCGGCGGAGGCGGAGGTTGAGCAGGGAGAGGGTGGGCGCCGTGCAGGATGACCACCGCGGCTCCGACGGCGGCGACGCCGATCTGCGCGAGAAGCGCGGCCGCCGACCCGTGCTCGGACAGGCCGCGAAGCTCGCCGCCTGGAGGGGTGGGGTGGGGGGGGGGGGGATGCCAGGTGCTGGAGGGCGTCTGTGTGCTCCAAGAGGGAGAGGAAGAGGCGAGGGGGTGCTCCAGGGATTAGGCGTGCGCCGGGACGCGCACCGATGCTTCCCCACGCCAAGCCGGCGCACAGCGCGCCACCGGCGGCGCCGTCCCCGCCGCCGCCCTCCGCGCCCTCGGAGGCGGCGAGCGCAGCCAGCAGCGGCGCGTGCGCAAGCAGGAGAAGCGAGCGGCGCAACGCGGCGCGCGAGTATGCCGGCGTCGGCGCGTACGGGAGCGGCAGCGCGCCGCTCCAGAGGAGGGCGGAGAGGGCGGCGAGTAGGCTGGTCACGACGGCAACCCCCACCCACAGCGCGGAGCACGCCCGCGGCAGCGCCATCAGCCAGCCGCCGAGCAGGGCAGGCAGCGCCACGCTGCCGCTCACGAGGCAGAGCTGGAGGGCGCCGCTCGGCGCGCGGCTGGCCCAGCGCGGCGCGGCGTCCCAGAGCAGGCCGACGTCGAGCGCCGCGAGCGGCAGCCACTCGAGCCGCAGGCTCTTGCCGCCGCCCGCAGCCTCGAGCGGCCAGAACGCGGTGCCGCCGACCTTCGACGGCCCGAGCAGGCGGTCAAAGGCGCCGGCGTCGGCAGCGGACTGCAGAGCGGCGCCGCAGCCGAGGGCTAGTATCAGCAGTGCGCCTGTCTGCGCGAGCGCCACCGGGAAATCGCGGTGAGTCGCCATACGGCCTTTTTTCTTTTTTCGCGACTGGCCCTCTTCCAACGAGCCCTCGAAATGGGTCCCTAAAAAGGGGAGGAACGTAATGGGGCCGCCTCGCGAAAGAAAAAAACGGTGACACGCCGCGGCCTTGCTTGAAAGCGAGGCGGAGGACCAGCTAGCTGCAAGAGTGATCGGCTTTCTGGCATTTTAACTGTGCTGCCGCCGATGATCACGTGGATCGCGTTGGCGATTCCTATCGTCGGAGCGGTCTCCACCTACCCAACTGTCGTCACTGACGATCAAGTTGTCGATCCGGGCGACTCGCTTCGTTTCGGCGCAGCGATCGCCGCTCTCGACAGCAGCACTGGCTGGGTCGCCGTGGGAGCGCCGGATACCGACGGAAACGCCGGATACCGCGGAGCAGTCACGCTTCTCAACCTCGAGTGTGCGACATGCGTCGAGGTCACCATCGGCGATAACCAGCTTCCACTCGCTGACTACACCTTGTTTGGCTCGGCCGTCGCGATGGTGCCGGATCTGGGCGGTGTGACGCTCGCCGTCGGTGCTCCAGGATGCGAACTGTTGGGTTGTGGACCCGATGCGAGAGCTGCGAGTGCAGGCACGGTCGCCATCACGCCCAGCCGCTCACACCTGCCGCTCACACCTGCCGCGCACCCGGCCGCTCTTGCAGGCGCCGTCTACCTGCTCCGGCTTGCCTCCGAGGCCGACTGCCAGGCGGATCCGGCCGCATGCCTGCTGTCGTGGGTCGTCATTGAGCCCATGCAGGGGGGCTTCAACCCGTCGTCAGCCGACCTGGACACGTACCAGCACTTTGGGCAGGCCATCGCAGCTCTGCCGGGCTTTCACAGCCATGGCGGCGCCGGGCTTGCGCTCGCGGTGGGCGCGGGCACAGACTTCGACGATGACATCCCTGGCGCGGGGATGACCGGAATTCAGGGCACCGTCTTCCTCCTTTTTATGGACACCGGCGTGCAGCTGCCGTGCCAACTGCCTCCACTCCTTCTCCTCTGTTTGCTAGATTTCACCGCCTCCGCCTCCCTGCAGGCGGCTGGCCGGCATCCGTCAACGTCACCTCGCACCGGCGCATCGAGTCGGGCAAGGGCATCGAGACCATCCCTACTGGCGGCGTGTTCGCCACCTCCCTCGCCGCCTTGACCGACTTGAACGGGGACGGCACTGCAGAGCTGGCTGTCGGAGGGAGCATGAACTCCGATCGTTCCGGCGACGCCTGGATCCTTTTCCTCGAGGCCGACGGCACCGTCAGCGGCAGCCTCGACCTCGGTGAGAGCCGTTCTCACTCCGCAGCGCCCCTCCACGCCCCCACTCTGCAGCCACACCACAGTCCACACCCACCCAACCGCCCACCTACCGCCGCCGCCAACCGCCGCACTGTTCTCTGTCGGCGCAGGAGTCAGCGCCGCCCTGCAGCCCAAAGACAAGTTTGGGTACTCGCTCGCGATGCTCGACGACATGGACGGAGATGGCACGCCCTCCCGCCCATCGCTGCATTTTGCCCTCCTCTGCCCGCCTCTGCCCGCCTCTGCCCTCCTCTGCCCTCCTCTGCCCGCCTCTGCCTCTCGTGCCCTCCTCTGCCCTCCTCTGCCCTCCTCTACCGAGGCGGCTCCCTCGCCCCCCCGCGCAGGCATGCCCGAGCTGGCTGTTGGTGCCGAGGGCAGCGGGGGCAGTGTCGGATCCGGAAATTCAGAGTCCGACGGCGCGGTATACATTTTGCTCCTCGGCAACGGCGGCGGTGCGGTCGATGTCAAGGATTGGACAGTGTGGCCCGGTCCCAAAGGAGCTGCGTCAGAGTACGGCGCGGCGGTCGCAGCCATGTCGGTACGCGGTGTTGCAGACCACCGCACGCCACCTCCCCCCCCCCTCCACGCTTACGCTGATTGTGTGTGCCTGTCCTCCCTATGCCTCTCCTCCGCAGGGCAAGCGCTTGCTCGTCGGGGCGCCAGCCGCTAGCGCGGTCCACGACATCACGTACTCGACAGATCCCAACAGCTGCACTGACTACATCGCCGAGGGCGTGAAGTGCGCCGGCCTGAGTGAGCTGTGTTGCGAGGTGGGGACCACGTGCGTCCGCGTGTGCCTGCAGGGTGTGGTGGGGACCACGTGCTTCGGCGAGTCGGAATGGCAATGTTTGTTTCCCTCGCCGCCGCCGCCCTCGCCCCCGTCGACGCCGCCACCCCAACCGCCGTCGCCGCCGCCGTCCGCCTCGCCGTCGCCGCCGCCGCCCTCCACCTCGCCGTCGCCACCACCGCCGTCCGCCTCGCCGTCGCCACCACCGCCGTCGGCCTCACCCTCGCCGCCGCCTCCCTCCGCCTCGCCCTCGCCACCACCGCCCTCCACCTCGCCCTCGCCGCCGCCGCCGTCCGCCTCGCCGTCGCCGCCGCCTCCCTCGGCCTCGCCCTCTCCGCCGCCTCCCTCGGCCTCGCCCTCGCCGCCGCCTCCGTCCGCCTCGCCCTCTCCACCGCCTCCCTCCGCCTCGCCCTCTCCGCCGCCGCCATCCGCCTCGCCCTCTCCGCCGCCTCCCTCGGCCTCGCCCTCGCCGCCGCCTCCGTCCGCCTCGCCCTCGCCGCCGCCTCCCTCCGCCTCGCCCTCGCCGCCGCCGCCCTCCGCCTCGCCCTCTCCGCCGCCTCCCTCCGCCTCGCCCTCGCCGCCGCCGCCCTCCGCCTCACCGTCGCCGCCGCCTCCGTCCGCCTCGCCCTCTCCGCCGCCTCCGTCCGCCTCGCCGTCGCCACCACCGCCGTCGGCCTCACCCTCGCCGCCGCCTCCCTCCGCCTCGCCCTCGCCACCACCGCCCTCCACCTCGCCCTCGCCGCCGCCGCCGTCCGCCTCGCCGTCGCCGCCGCCTCCCTCGGCCTCGCCCTCTCCACCGCCTCCCTCCGCCTCACCCTCGCCGCCGCCGCCCTCGGCCTCGCCCTCTCCGCCGCCTCCCTCCGCCTCGCCCTCTCCGCCGCCGCCGTCCGCCTCGCCCTCTCCGCCGCCTCCCTCGGCCTCGCCCTCTCCACCGCCTCCCTCCGCCTCACCCTCGCCGCCGCCGCCCTCGGCCTCGCCCTCTCCGCCGCCTCCCTCGGCCTCGCCCTCGCCGCCGCCTCCGTCCGCCTCGCCCTCTCCACCGCCTCCCTCCGCCTCGCCGTCGCCGCCGCCGCCCTCCGCCTCGCCCTCTCCACCGCCTCCCTCCGCCTCGCCCTCGCCGCCGCCGCCCTCCGCCTCGCCCTCGCCGCCGCCGCCATCCGCCTCGCCCTCTCCACCGCCGCCGTCCGCCTCACCGTCGCCGCCGCCTCCCTCCGCCTCGCCCTCTCCGCCGCCTCCGTCCGCCTCGCCCTCGCCGCCGCCTCCCTCCGCCTCACCCTCTCCACCGCCTCCCTCCGCCTCGCCGTCGCCACCACCGCCCTCCACCTCGCCCTCGCCGCCGCCTCCCTCCGCCTCGCCCTCACCGCCGCCTCCGTCCGCCTCACCCTCGCCGCCGCCTCCCTCCGCCTCACCCTCTCCGCCGCCTCCCTCCGCCTCGCCCTCTCCGCCGCCTCCCTCCGCCTCGCCCTCGCCGCCGCCTCCGTCCGCCTCACCCTCTCCGCCGCCGCCATCCGCCTCGCCCTCTCCGCCGCCTCCCTCGGCCTCGCCCTCGCCGCCGCCTCCGTCCGCCTCACCCTCACCGCCGCCTCCCTCGGCCTCGCCCTCTCCACCGCCGCCGTCCGCCTCGCCGTCGCCGCCGCCTCCCTCGGCCTCGCCCTCTCCACCGCCTCCCTCCGCCTCACCCTCGCCGCCGC